TAAACTGCCATGAAGGTCGCATTGCCGGCACTTCTGCAACCCACATCATGGCACCAAGGCGGCGCAGCAAAGCCCGCTAGGCCTCTTCTCCTGGTGGAGCAGGCTACGGTCCGACCTGCCGCACTTGCTGCTCGGCTGCTACTAGCTGCTCCGATGGGTGCTCCCCGGGCTGCTCCTGCCGCTGCTCTGCCCCCTGCGCCTCCTGCCTTTGCTCTGCTCCGCGCTCCTCTTCTCCTTGACCCGCCGGCCGCCCCTGCCGTTGTCGTCGCCGCTCCTCCTCCGCCTCCGCTTCCTCCTCCTCCAAGCCTGCCTGCCCACCAGCCGGCTGCACAGCATGCTGAGGGTAGGCAGCCGCAAGCGCGTGCCGCATGCCGCGCAGCCGGGCGTAGATGGCGTCCAGGTCTTTCTTCACCGTGGCCAGCAGGGCGCCAGAGTTGGCCAGCTCCTCAATCACCTCGCCCACCTCATCACGCCCCAGCCCGGGGGGCGTCTGGGTGAGGGCCGCACGCGCAGATTGCAGGTGCGCCAACCTGCGGCAGGTGCGGCATGAAGAGTGGTGGCAGAGCTGCAGCACCCGCCACCATAGGCCACCACAGGCCAGCCACCGGTTCCGCGCCATCGGGTCAGCGCTTCACAGTGCAAGGTGCCCTCCACAAGGTGGAATGGCTGCTGCCCACTCACAGCTGCTCTTGGACCTCGATGATCGGCAGGTCTGCCATGCTGCCGGCAGGCGTGGTGCCCGGAGCCGCCGGCCGCTGCGTTCCCGCCGCTGCCAAGTGTTGCTGGCCAGCGGCGTTTTACTCTTTGGGGCTGTCTGCCGCCTGTGATCGATCTGGATTGGCCCTTCACAGCCTTTCTGATGCCCAGTGAGCGGCACAGAGACGAAGAAGTTGGTAGGGTTCGTTGTCCCGGCCTGGACGGCCCTTCGGGGGTCTCCAATCTATGCTTGGATTGTCATTCGCCAAAATGGCGGCGAGGACGGCTCACCACTGTACATAACTGCAGTACAGTTCGTTCCTCTGCCTCCTGACCCGAAGCAACCCCAGGCTCGTTTTCAACAGTGCACTGCCATCGCTGCGGAATCAGTGGCCTGGGGCCCATGGCGGGAGACGCTGCTTCTGCCGACCGTGATGACCTCGTTCTGCCGTTGCTTGCAGAAACCAAGTGGGTGACCCTTCAAATTGGCTGTGCTGGGTGTCGGCAGACATAACGATGTCGCCATCACGTGTGCGTGTATCCTGGCTGCGGTGGTGACGGCGCCGACGGCGGGCACGCAGCACCTGTTGACCGCTGTCGCTCGTGCCTGCAGTGCTGGCAGCGGTGGTGATGGCAATGACCCCGGCCGCAGCACACAGGAAGGCACGACGCCTTTCCAGACGGCGTTCAACATCCTGAACATTTTCGTGGGGACAGGGCTGCTGGGGATGCCGTACGCGATGATGCGGGGCGGCTGGGCCGCACTTGCGGCACAGGTAGGGGCTTTGCACGTGGTCTTGCCCACCAAACCACAATTGTTCGCCTCTTGGGCTTGATGGTTGACGTCCCCTGCCGCCGCTGATGCCCTGCCGCAGGCCCTGCTGCTGCCCGTGTTTGCGCTGAGCGGGCAGCTCATCTGCAGCACCTTCCAGCTGCTGCCCGCCCACACGCCCCGCACATACCCCGAGCTGGGCAAGGCGGCGGCGGGCGGGGCGGGCCTGCGCGCCGTCATGCTCTTCTCCTTCCTGGAGCTGTTTGGCGGCTCCTGCATCCTCATCATGGTGGCCTGGCAGCAGCTGGAGCTGCTGCTGCCCGCGGAAGGTGCGCCGTGCGGGCCTGTCCCCCTCTCCTTCCATGGCATCGCCGACCACACCCCACTCGCTGCCAGCACGAGCCTGCCAGCACGGTGTCGCCTTGCACCGCCCCGAACCTCCGGCCCTGCCTGTCTTATTCATTGCCTTTTTTGTATTTCCTGCCTGCAGGCCTGGGCCCGCTGCTCAGCCCCATGCACTGGGCCGCCGCGCTGGCCACCCTGCTGCTGCTGCCGCTGCTGTTTGTGGACCTGCGCCGCCTCAGCCGCCTGTCCGTGGTGGGCCTGGCCTCCAGCGGGCTGGTGGTGGTCATGGTGGCGGCGCTGCTGGGACTGGACCCACGCCGCACAGCCATGGCGCAGCAGGTGGGGCGCGGCGCTCGCCTCGTGCCGTGGTGTGCCGTGCGCTGGCCTGATGCAGGTGCGTGTAATGTTCTGGACCTGCGGTGCAAGCGTGTGCCTGTGTCCCCCCCCGCCCGCAGCCGCCGCCCACCCACCACCTGGCCAGCGCGGGCATCATCCAGGCGGTCGGGGTGTTTTCGCTCAGCGCCACCGCCCACTCCACGCTGCCGGCGCTGAGAACGTGAGGCGCTGCCCTTTCTTTTTTGACTGATGCTGGCCGTTCGGCGCTCTCCTGTTTGGGCAGGAGCGGTGGCAACCTGCGCCCCCGGCTGCAAGCCATTCGCAGGGCCATGCGCAGGCCGGCGCAGTTCCCCGCCGCCCTGGCCGCCTCCTTTGCTATCATGCTGGCCGCCTACTCGACCCTGGCGGCTTGTGGGTACTGGTACTGGGTGAGACTGGGGCGCCTGGGGGTGCTGCCGGGCGCTGGTGCTGGGTAGCTGTGGGGCGCCTGGGGGCACTGCAACGAGCGGCAACATGCTGCCCCTCTCAGCAGACCACAGCGACATGGTGTTGGCGTGCGCGCAGCCCTGACTACCCAGCCCGCCTGCTGCGCGCCTGCTGCGCCTTGCCGCCTGCCTGCCGCGCGTGCCTGCAGGGCGACAGTGCCTCCCCGCTGCTCACCCTAGACCTGGCCCACAACTCCTGGTACTCAACTCACTGCCGCGTGCCCCTGCACCGCGTCCTGGTGCGCCGCCTGCCTGCCGCAGAACGCCTGCCGTCCGCGCATGGCATGCCGGCGGGAAGCTTCCACTGATTGAGCCGCTGGCCCCAATCCCCCACGGGTTGAGCCGCCGGCGTGTGTGAAACCAAAACCAGCCTCCCATTCCCTTGCCTGCCCCATCCCATCCGCACAGGCGTTCTTCGTGCTGGTCAACACGCTGACCAAGTACCCGGGCCTCAACCTGTGCCTGCAAGACATGATCCTGTCGGTGCTGCCCCTGCAGCGCGACGCGGCCGGCGACTACCACCCGCCCCTGCACTGGGCGGAGCGCGGGCTGCGCCTGGCGCTGTTCTGCGCGGGCACGGCGCTGGCGCTAACGGCGTACGATGTGCTGGGCAGCGCGCTGAGCCTGCTGGGCGGCCTGGGCTCCATCAGCTGCAGCCTGCTGCTGCCCACCGCGTTCTACGCCCGCCTGGCCTGGCCGCGCCTGCGCGCCCCCGCGCGCACCGGCCTGGTGCTGCTGCTGGGCCTGGGCGCCGCGCTGGTGTGCCTCATCACCGGCACAAACCTGTGCGACCTGTCGGCGCCGTGCAGAGCGTGGCGCGAGGCGGCGCTGCCCCCGGGTGCGCGTCCCACGGGCGGCTGGGCCAACCCGCTCGTGCGCTGAACGAGCAGCACAGTGTGCCCCCCTTTTTCCTGTCTTATACATAATTTTGAATATGCTGCTCGAATATGCAGCCGCATTTTGTAATTTGCTCGTCAGGGCCTGCCAAGCGCCGCCGCCGAGCGCCGCCTCCTTCGCCCTTGCCCGCCGCTGGCAAAATGCAGCTTGATCCCTGCGATTGTAACGCGCGCTGATCAGGCCTCGATCTGCATGTTTGCAACTGCACAGAGAGTTCTCGATTGAGCGTCGAAGCTGCGAGGACCCGCCAGGCGCCTCCAGAACCCCCGAGAAACACCGAGACCCCCGCCCTCCCACGCCTATTTCTTCGTGCCCCGATCCAGTTTCTCACTCTCCTCTCTCACATTTCTTCACACACACACACCGTAGCTGCTCCAAGGCAACTCTCGCGCCCTCCCATCCCCGCGCACCGCGATCATCTCCCCCTGCAAGCAAGCGAGCACAGCGCAGCAGCAACCATGACGGCTATCGGCATCGACTTGGGCACCACCTACAGGTGCGGGTCTTGCGGCTTCCGGTTTGCTGCGCCGAGGGAGGATGCTGTGCTGCCGCCGCCCGCTGCCGCGCTGCTCACCGCCCCCTTCTTTTCCCACCGCCTGCAGCTGCGTGGGCGTCTGGCAGCACGATAGAGTCGAGATCATCCCCAATGATCAGGTGCGCAGGAAGTTCTGTGCCGCTCGTGCCGCGCCATGCCGCTGCGGGCTGCCGCCGACCGGAACGCGCTAGAGGCAGCCAGAACCTTCCCAGGCCAGACTGTGTGCTCTGCGGCTCGGCCCCAGATGACTGCCTTGCCCCGGATCCATGCACCATGCCGATTCGCCCTCCCCACATGACCCGCCGTCCCCGGCCTGCAGGGCAACCGCACCACCCCCTCCTACGTCGCCTTCACCGACACCGAGCGCCTGGTGGGCGACGCGGCCAAGAACCAGTCGGCCATGAACCCCGCCAACACGGTGTTCGACTCCAAGCGCCTCATCGGCCGCAAGTTCTCCGACCCCGCCGTTAAGGACGACATGTCTCACTGGCCCTTCAAGGTGGTGGCGGGCCCCGCAGACAAGCCCATGATCGACGGTGAGCGGAGCCTGAGTAGGGGGGCAGGGAGGAGGTGTGCGGAGAGGAGCAGTGGGGAGCAGGGCAGCTTCGCAAGCTGCAGCCAGCCTCCTGCCTCGACACCCAGCGCTGTGTACCCCACACTTTGGGCCCCTCCCCCTGCCACCCAACCTGCTCACGCCGTCCTGCCGCTGCCCCCCTCCCTGCAGTGGAGTTCAAGGGCGAGCGCAAGCGCTTCTCGGCGGAGGAGATCTCCTCCATGGTGCTGGCCAAGATGAAGGAGACGGCGGAGACGTACCTGGGGAAGAAGGTCACCAAGGCAGTCATCACCGTGCCCGCCTACTTCAACGACTCGCAGCGCCAGGCCACCAAGGTGGGTGGGGGACTTGGGGGGCCGGGCTGGGAGGGGTGGCGGGGGCAGGGGGCTGTTTGGGGGGCTGCAGGCGGGCTGGGGCTGCCCCCTGCCCATCCCCCATCTCCCCTGCTGCTTTGTACTGTTGTCAGTTGAGAACTGCTGTGGCTGGCGCGGCACATCACCACAACCTTCCGTGCTCCCCTGACTCGTTGCTGCCTGCCCTCCCTGCCTGTCCCCGGCCGCAGGATGCGGGCGCCATTGCGGGCCTGGAAGTGCTGCGCATCATCAACGAGCCCACCGCCGCCGCCATCGCCTACGGCCTGGACAAGCGCAGCAAGGGTGAGCCGCCTGCCGGGCTGGCTGCGTGAGCTGGCTGCGTGAGCTGGCTGTGTGAGCTGGCTGTGTGAGCTGCCTGAGTGAGCTGGCTGCCACCGCCGCCCTGCGCTGCTATGCGCAGCGCGTGCCCCGCTTCCCACCCGCTCTCCCGCCTGCCTGCCTGCTGACTGTCCACACCCGCCCGTCCTGCCACCCGTTCCTCCCTCCCGCAGGCGCCAAGCACGCGGAGCACAATGTGTTGATCTTCGACCTGGGCGGTGGCACCTTTGATGTCTCCCTGCTGTCGATTGATGAGGGCATCTTCGAGGTCAAGGCGACCGCGGGCGACACGCACCTGGGCGGCGAGGACTTCGACTCCCGCATGGTGGCGCACTTTGTGCAGGTGGGATGCTGGGATGTGTGGCGCTGCTGTGGGCAGCGCTCGGGGCTGGCGATGCCTCTCCCAGCCTGATGCTGCTTTGTGCCAGCCTCGCATGACACACGCCCTGCTGCCGCCGGCTCCCAAGCCTGCCTGCGGTGCCTGGACTGCCAACCTGCACTGAACCCGTACCGCCCCCCTGTACCGCAGGAGTTCAAGCGCAAGTACAAGAAGGACGTGTCGGCCAACGCGCGCGCGCTGCGCCGCCTGCGCACCGCGTGCGAGCGCGCCAAGCGCACCCTCTCCTCCTCCACCCAAGCCTCCATCGAGATCGACTCGCTGTACGAGGGCGTCGACTTCTACTCCTCCATCACCCGCGCCCGCTTCGAGGAGCTCAACATGGACCTGTTCCGCAAGTGCATGGAGCCCGTGGAGCGCGTGCTGTCGGACGCCAAGATGGACAAGGTGGGCTTGAACAGTGGTGGTGGTGGTGGTGGTGGTGGTGGTGCCCAGGAGGGAGGCAGGCAGGGCTGGGAGGGCTGGGGCCAGCCGGCCAGCCCAGCCAGGCAGCCTCAGTGCGTGGGTGCCGCAGCCTCGCCCACCTACCGTTGAGTTACTGCTGCTGACCCAAAGTTGCCATGCGCCACTCGCTCCCCCTGCAGGGCTCCATCCACGACGTGGTGCTGGTGGGAGGCTCCACCCGCATCCCCAAGGTCCAGCAGATGCTGCAGGTGAGCCTTTGGCTCGGTGGTGTGCGGGCCTGGGTGGTGGGCAGCGGGCAGACAGACAAGACAGCGTGCCGACCTGGCATGGTGCCTGGCGCTCTCCCTGCCTGGCAGCACGTGGCCGCCTGCCTCCCCTGCCGCTTGTGCCATGTGCCGACCGTCCTGTACCGCCTGCTGTACCGCCCCGCAGGACTTCTTCCACGGCAAGGACCTGTGCAAGAGCATCAACCCTGACGAGGCGGTGGCCTACGGCGCCGCCGTGCAGGCCGCCATCCTGACGGGCGAGACGCACGAGAGCGTGCAGGACCTGCTGCTGCTGGACGTCACGCCGCTCAGGTGAGGCCCAGGGCCGGGCTGGGGCCGAGGCGCAGGGCCTGCTGAGGAGTGTGTGCAGGGCAAGGACAGCCATCCTTCCAGCGCTGCCCGGCTCCTGCCTGCGCCAGCCCAGCCGCGTGCTGACTGCTGCTGACACGACTGCTACCGGATCCGACCCCGCCCTGCGCTGCAGCCTGGGCCTGGAGACGGCGGGCGGCGTGATGACGGTGCTGATCCCGCGCAACACCACCGTGCCCACCAAGAAGGAGCAGGTCTTCTCCACATACTCCGACAACCAGCCCGCAGTGCTCATCCAGGTCAGTCGCTTGGCCAGCCGTGCTGGTCATTGGAAAAAGCTGGTCAGCTGATTGGACAGCAATCAAACTGAGAGGGACCTGCAGATTGAATTACTCACAAAGCATATCACAAGCAATGCCTCAAACAAGCGTCCACCCGATGCCCCTGCTGCAGGTGTACGAGGGTGAGCGAGCCCAGACCCGCAACAACAACCTGCTGGGCAAGTTTGAGCTGACGGGCATCCCGCCCGCGCCGCGCGGCGTGCCCCAGATCAGCGTCACCTTTGACATCGACGCCAATGGTGAGCGGGGAGGGCAGGCCTTGGGGTTGACTGCACCAGTAGTGTATGCCGGGGCAGGGCTGCCAGCGCACGCAGCAGGGCCTGCCCCATCCCACGATGTGCTGCTCACGACCTGCCCTCCCGTCCCGCTGCCCTCCCGTCCCCCGGCCCGCAGGCATCCTGAACGTGTCTGCCGAGGACAAGACCACCGGCAAGAAGAACAAGATCACTATCACCAACGACAAGGGGCGCCTTAGCAAGGACGAGATCGAGCGCATGGTGGCGGACGCTGAGCGGTACAAGGCGGAGGACGAGGCGGCGCGGCGCAAGGTGGAGGCCAAGAACGGGCTGGAGAACTACGCCTTTTCGGTGCGCAACACGCTGCGGGACGAGGCGGTGGCGCCCAAGCTTGATGCCGGCGACAAGGAGCGGCTGGAGCGGGCGGTGAATGAGGCTTTGGACTGGATGGACCACAACCAGGTGGGTGGGTGGGCTGCTGCTGCTGCAGCTGCTGGAAGGCGGTGCGGGGACTGCTGTGGAGAGGTGACTGTGTGGGGACGGTGCGCAGCTGCGTGCGGCAGCAGCCAGCCAGCGGGCAGCGGGCAGCAGGCCTGCTGTGCTGACACGCGCCGCCGCTTTGCCATGGCGCCATCCGAACGACGCTGCGAGTGGCCTGGATGCTGAGCGCTGCCTGCCTTCACCCCTGCTGCTGCAGCTGGCTGAGGAGGAGGAGTTTGAGGCTAAGCGCAAGGAGCTGGAGGAGCAGGCCTCCCCCGTCTTTGCCAAGCTCTACTCGGCCGGCGGCGCGCCCGGCGGCATGCCCGGCGGCATGCCCGGCGGCATGCCCGACATGGGTGCTGGCGCCGGGGCGCGCCAGGGCCCCACCGTGGAGGAGGTGGATTAATCAGGCAGCCGTGGACTGCGCTGCCCACCTGGCAGCTGCCGAGCCATTGATGCAGCGGCACTGTGCACAAGCTCGACGCTGCCGCTGCGTTCAGTTGTATGTACGCGCTGTTTTGGAGTGCGGCACAAGGGCCCACTTGTATGCATGCACAAAATAGAAACACCATCCCTGCTTTGAGCCCAACCGTCTCTCCCCTTTCAATGAACCCGCCCTCAGCACAAGGCCCCTACTCTCTTGATTTCGTACTGCCGTCAGCATTTCATACTTGCTGGGGTGCACCGAGCACACCCCTTCTGCATTCTGTTTTTTCGTCAGCTGCTGCTGCTGTAAACCAGCTCACAAGAATTCAACCACCGTACTGCCAGCGACGACAGGACATTCAGGCTCATCCTGCAAGCCTACCACTCTATTTGCACCTCCCAGTGCTGAGCCAGGCACTCCAATGAGCACATGGACCTTCTCAGGCTGCTCCCCTCGCGCCCAGGCACTCTAGCCGCACTTTTAACGGCAGCTTTGTGCGTGGTGGCGGCAGCCAGGCGAGGGCCAGGCTGCAGCAGCCTGCTGGAGTGGCTGACAGCGCTAGGCAGCACCATGGTGAGCCAGCACAGGGGCTGCACAGCCTCGTCCTCCTCGACTGCTAGAGGCAGCAACAGCAGAAGCAGCCCGGATCCTGCATCCCTGGAGGCTCAGGGGGATCTGGCCACCCGTGGCAAGGAGCAGCCTGGGCCGGCGCGCAGCAGGAGCGCCGCCAGTCACCGCAGCGGCGGCGCCGGCAGCAGCGGCAAGCGGGCGCAGGCCATGCCGTCTGACCTGCGCTGCCTCTATCTCTACGTGCGCCTCGCCGGTCGCTGCCCGCCTCCATCCTGGTAGCTTCATTATCGGCATCCCGTGGCCAAGCTTGCGAACCACCCGCATGCGAACCACCTTCCTGCATTGCCTGCCGGATCGCCGTCGCCGCATGGCGCCCCGCCCTTCCTGCCATGCCCAACACTTGCCCTGTTTTTTCATCGATTCTAGCATAGCGTATTTTGTGACACATCCTCATTGAATGGCCTGCCAGGCCAGGCTGAGAGGGGGAGGCGCGACATGGGTGCATGGCAGCGGCGCGCGGCGTGGCCCTGCAGCTCGGGTGCGGTGTAGACGGCGTGTATCAGTCGCACCTCGAGCAGCAGTGGTGGGCATAGACCTGGGCACCACCAACTCTGCCGTGGCCACGCTCGAAGGCGGCGCCCCCCGCGTGCTGAAGAACGCCCAGGGCTGCGCCGCTGTCCCATCAATAGTGGCGATCGCCCAGGTGGGAGCGGGCAGCAGCTGGCGGCACCTGCTGCCACCACCCCGCCTCGCCGCTGCTGCCGCTCGCCATGCAGCCGACTGCTCCACCGCTGCCCCTCCTGCCGCAGGATGGCAAGATGCTGGTGGGCCAGGCGGTGATAGACCCACCCGAAGGCTATGCCACGCCCTACAGCAGCCGCCAGCCAGGCGAGGCCCAGGAGGGCGCCATCAGGGTGCTCCCCTCCGACTGCTTCCATTCCTTCAAGCGCCTGCTGGGCAAGAAGTGAGCCTCCTCTCCTGCCACTGCTGCTATATCATCGCCCAGCCTGCATGAGTAGAGCTATGTTGCCAGGGGTTGAGCCTCCAGCAGGATCGGTTGAGCAGCCGGCGGGTGGCAACTGTCGGGTGGCTGCACACGTGCTCCGCCTCCCTGCTGCCTGCTTTGAACCGTCGATGGCTTCCCTGGGGCTGCCTGGCGGCGTGCAGGGCGGAAGAGGTGGCAGAGGATGCGGCACGGCTGGGGTACAGCGTCGGGCAGGGCGACCGCGGCGAGGCCGCAGTGTACTGGTGTGTGGTGTGTGTGCGCGCATGTGACCGCATGTGTGTTGACCGGCTCGTGATTGCGAGTGCAGCCCAACAGCAGCCCAACGCTGCATGTCATGCCGAACCGCTGCTGCTGCTGCCCCGGCCTGCCTGCCTCACCACCCTGCTGCTCTGTGGGTGCAGCCCTGCGCTGGACGACATGCTCACGCCTGAGGAGCTCTCCACCTGGGTGCTGCAGCACCTGAAGCAGGCGGCAGAGGAGCAGCTGGGGGAGGCGGTGACGGGCGCGGTGGGTGGCCGCCCCTGGCCCGGCCCGCCAGCACTCGCTGCCGAGGCCTGCTGCCGCTGCCTGCCGCCTCCGCTTGAGCGGCTGCTTGCGCCAGCGCGCAGCAGCTCCTCGCCTTCCTGCGCCGCACACATGCCCAGGCAGCTTAATAGCTAATGCTCACACCTCGCCACGCTTGCCACCACGCGGCCGCAGGTGGTCACCGTGCCCGCCCACTTCCAGCAGGCGCAGCAGGGCGCGACGCACGCGGCGGCGCAGCAGGCGGGCATCCCCGCGGTGCAGCTGCTGCAGGAGCCGGTGGCGGCGGCGCTGGCCTACGGCATCCACGGCGGCGCCGACGGCGACACGGTGCTGGTGTTCGATGTGGGTGGCGGAACCTTTGACGTCAGGCGAGCTCAGTGGGGGGCTGGCTGCCTGGACGCAGCTGGGCACGCAAGCTTGCAGCTGAGGCTGCTGCCAGTGCGGCAAATTGGTGCTCCCATCCGTCATGCGGTATAGATACTATACTAATACGCTATACCGGCGCCACCTCTGCCAAGTCAGCCCCGGTCGCTGCTGCTTTACATCCCGCCGCTGCTGCCGCCGCCGCCCCGCTCTGCACCCTGCTGCAGCATCCTGCAGGCGTTTGAGGGGATCATGGAAGTGCTGGGCACCGCTGGCGATGCCAGCCTGGGCGGCAACGACTTCGATGCCCGGCTGGCCGACTGGCTGCTGGCTGAGTGCGCGGCTCGTGACGGCGGCGGCAGCAGTGGCGGGGCCGCGGATCCAGGGCAGCTGCAGTGGGCCATGGCTGCGGCCGAGGCAGCCAAGATAGCGATGGCGGGGGCGGAGAGCGCCGAGGTGGCGCTGCCAGGCGGCGGCGCCCCGCTGGCTCTGACTCAGCACCGGTTCGAGGAGCTCAGCTCCGACCTGTTCCAGCTCATGGCGAATGTGCTGGAGGCGCTGGGGGATGCCCTGTTCATAGAGTGGGCGGTCAAGCCCTCAGACGCAGTGCCCGGCCGGCCGGCGGCCAGCGCTAGCAGCAATGGCAACAGCAGCAGCGGCAGCGGCAGCAGCAGCGGCGGCGGTGGCGGCAGCAGCATCCAGGAGGGCGGCGGCGGGCAGCGGGACAGGTGGGCGCCGCCGCCGCGCCGCATCACCCAGGTGGCGCTGGTGGGGCAGGTCACGCGGCTGCCCAGCGTGCAGCGGTTTGTGCGGCGCATCACAGGTGGGCTCTGCTGCTGGACCTTGCTGTGGCAGCCAGCCTGCCGAGCGCCTGTCCCGCTGCCCTGGCTGGGTGTGCCGCCGGCCTGCGTCGCCCGCCCTCCAACCTTGCGCCGGCCCGCCGGCAGCCCGAGGGCAGGCGCAGGCGCTGCTGTATGCTATGCTGCCGTGCTCAAAGGGAGCAACGAGCCTGGCTGCCGCAGGGGTGCAGCCGCAGATGGGGGTGGACCCAGCAGAGGCAGTGGCGCTAGGTGCTGCCATCCACGCGGGCGTGCTGCTGGGAGAGGTGCGCCCTGTGCTCACCCCATTGCCTCGGTGCCCGGCGAGCCTGGTGCAAGCAGGAGAGCGGGCGGCAGGCCAACATAGGCCGTAGCTCCCGAGCGCTGCCTGGCGTGCACTGGTCGTGCTGCGCCACCGCTGCCCAGCTGGCCGGTCAGCCCGTTGCCAGTGGCCTGGCCCCACTCGCCGCCCAGCGCTGCCTCACTCTGTGCCTGTCCCTGCCACCTTGCCGCCTGCAGGTGAGCGGCGTGGAGCTCATGGATGGCAGCTACTCACAAGACCTGCACGACAGAGCCACCGGCTTCAGCGGCTGGCAGCCTTGAGCCTGCACAAGCCAACAGCCTGCTCCAGCGGCCAGCAGCCTCGAGCAGCTTGGGTGGCAAGGAGCCCGCCAGGCTCCGGCGTTGTTGGTTCGATTGCATGGAATCTTGCCTAGGCCTGACCTTGAACGTGCACCTGACCGTTGAACGTGTTACACAACAACTGAGAAGCACAGTGAGCACAGCACAGAACGCACAGCGCAGCGGGGCTGCCGCCACGACAGACATAATGGAAGGAGCGAGTGAAAGAGGGCGGAGCAGGGGAGGCCCAGGGGGACACGAGGGCAGCAGAGGAGGTTTGCTCCGTGCCTCCTGTGGCAAGTCGCAGTGCGGAGGCTGGGCCCGGCAGCCGAGATGGGGATGGGGAAGAAGGGAGAGGGCTGGGGGCCAAACAGAAGCAGGAAAGGAAAGGGAGAGGGGTCAAAAGGAATGCGTGGGGTCGTCCATTCCATTGTGCAGGCAGCTCGAGACGGATGGCTCCGCCCCGGCGGCTGCCAGCTGGCGTGCGTCGCATGCCGAAACGGCGGGGAGGGCGAGGACCGTCGAAGCAGGCTCCCGGCCTGGCACAGCGCACAGCTTAGTATCGCCTGCAGCGCGCGGGCAGCTCAGCGCCGCGCCGGGCTGCGGCTCCGCTCCCGGCCGCCGCCCTCTGGCACGTAGCGCGACTGCAGGCGCTCAAGAGCCGCCTTCTCGCGAGCCTCCCGGTCTGCCGCGCTCTGCGACTTGCGCGGCCGGCCAAACTCGTCATAGCTGCGAGCAGGGGGTGCGTGCGGGGGTGCGGCAGTGAGGGAAGCATACCAGTTGAGACCAAACGCACCCTGGGCAGGCCCCAGGGTCCCGGCGTGGCTGACACACAGCAGTACGCCTCGCTGTCCCACCCGTGACACACAGCACGCGCAGCAGCTTGGGAGCGGCCGCCACGTCACTGCAAGGCAGCAAGCAGCGCAGCGGGAGCGGCGGCGGGGCGGCAGCGGGGGCTCACTCCTCGTTCTGCTCGCGCTCACGCCGCCGCCGGCGCGCCTCCTCCGCCTCGGCGTCGTCGCGCTCCTTGAAGCCGCCGCCTGCGGGAAGAGAGGAAACAGGCCCGGGGGCAGGCGAGCAGGTGGGCCGTGAGCCGGTGCGTGTGTGCGTGCTTCAGGTGGAGCAGCCAGCGCGGGGCCGGCAGGCACGGAGCCGCGAGGTGCAAGGCATCGCCAGGAGGCATCGCCCAGCGCCAGGCTCAGCTCAGGCCGGGGGCAGGGACGCAACACACGGCGGCGGCCGGCAGGCGGCGGGCGGCAGCCCGCTGGCCGCTGGCCGCACCCGCGCCCTCTCGGTTGGTGTCGACAGTGCCGGGCTTGGGCGTGTTGCACTGGTTGCACGCCTTGCGGCGCTCCCAGTTGACGTTGCCGCAGCCCGTGCAGGTCCAGTCGCCGGGGGCAAACTTGCCTGCAGAGGCGGCGGGTGGGTGCGTGTTGTGTTGGCAGTGGTGGTGAGGTGGCTGGCGCGCAGGCGGGTGAGCATGAGGGAGCAGCGGGGCACATCCGGGAGCAGGGAGGGCGTGGGAGCAGGGCCAGAGGCGACTGCCGGGCAGCCTGGCACGCTGAGAGGGAGGGAGGCAAGCAAGGGTGGCGTGCCGCCAAGCTGGGCTGGGGTGCAGAGCAGCGTGGTGTCACACCTGGAGGGCCCTGGGGCGCGGCCTGGGGCGGCGCGGCGGCCGCGCGCGGCGGCGGGGCACCGGCGGGTGCGGCGTTGGCGCCGCTGCCATAGTCGCCGCCGCCGCCGCCGCCACCCTTGGACTTGCCGCACTTGTTGCAGCGGTCGCGCCAGCCAAAGCTGCAGGGGTGGGGACAGAGAAGGAAGGAAGCAAGATGGATGAGACAGCCAGCGCAAGCATGCCAGGGGCAGAATAGACGGGAGCAAAGGCTCCAGTGAGTCCCGCAAGAAGCACTCCTGGCCAAAAGCAGGGCGAGTGAGAGTACGGCTTGTGACTCAAACCCAGGCAGCAGTCTGCCCAGCCCCAGCCGCTCACTTGTTGTTGCCGCACTCGCAGTCCCAGTCGCCCTCGCGGCGGCGGCCGCCACCGCCGCCGCCGTAGCCGCCTCCTGCTGGCGCGCCGTAGCCGCCGCCCTGAGGAGCACCATAGCCGCCACCGCCGCCACCGTAGCCACCGCCGCCACCATAGCCACCGCCCTGCGGCGCGCCATAGCCGCCACCGCCAGCTGGCGGCGCGCCGTAGCCGCCGCCACCTCCATAGCCGCCACCGCCGCCGCCACCGCCGCCGTCGGGCTTGGCGGTGCCGCAGCGGTTGCACTGGGTGCGGAATGCGAAGCAGTTGTTGCCGCAGGACGGGCAGGCCCAGTCGCCTGCAGCAGCAGCAGCAGCAGCAGCATGCACAGCTGAAGCCTCCTCCTCCCCATCACACCCCACACGTGGGCGACCCTCCCAGCCACTGAGCGGAGGAGCGCGAGGGCACGCGTGAGCAGCGGTTTGTGGCGCGCAGACCTCTTCCCCGCCGCCCCACCACACCCCCACCGTGTGGGGCTGGGGGGGAGGAGGCTGGGCCGCAAACCGCTGGGGATGAGAGAGGGTTGGGGACACCACCGTACCTGTCACCGTACGTGCTTACCTTGAGCCCCACACACGCTCACACACGACGTATGTGTCCCCACCCCGCCCTACCCACCCACACCCACACACCCACACCTTGCCCCTCACCTTCCCTGGAAACCGGCTGACTACTCCCCCCACCAACCACCGTGGCTGTCACTGTCTGTGCATCCTCTGCCTTTTCTGCGCTGCACTTGTTGCAGGTCTCGCGCCACTGGAAGCTGCAGGCGCAGGGGCGGGGCAGGAGGGGAGCAGGCACGGGAGAGGATGGGTCGGGCCAAGCTGGGGCAGGTGCCAGCTGCTAGGGCAGCTACACTCACACACTCACACACTCAGCAAGCTGGGCAAGGATGAGACGAGCCTCTGCACACACACACACACACACACACACACACAGCACCGCACCACCACCACCACCACCGCCGCCGCACTGACTTGATGTTGTTGCAGCTGGTGCAGCGCCAGTCTCCCGGGCGCGCCATCTGGCCTGGCTGCAGCCCCGGGTCGGCCACCAGCTCCAGGCCCGCCTCAGCCGCGTTCTCAGGCTTGGCCTTGCCGCACTGGTTGCAATTCTCGCGGCGCTGGAAGCTGCAGCAGGCAGGCGCGTGGCGGGGGCGGCGGCAGCGGCGATGAGGGGGCCACTTCGGCGGGCAGCAGGGGGCGGGTGCAGAGGCTGGCGCAGCGCCCACGGAAGTAGGAGACAGCAGGAGGTGGCAGGTGCCGACCTCTGCCAACCTCCCCGCCACCAACCGGCAGCCCTTCAGCGCACCCAGGCTGCCGCCAGGCCCCCAGAACCCAGCCAGGCCTCCACCACACACCCACTCACTTGAGGTTGCCGCAGTCGGCGCATTTCCAGTCCCCGGGCTTGGCGTGCAGGCCGCCGCCGGCGCCGCCGGGCATGCCGCCGTATTGCGGCGCGCCCACCGCGCCCGCTGGCAGCTCCATGCCGCCCTCGCTCTTGGGAGTGCTGCACTTGTTGCAGGCCTCCCTGAATTGGAAGCTGCGGGAGGGGCACGGGGCAGGGAGCAGGGTGGGGTTGGGGCGAGCGGCCAGGCCACGGCTGGGGCAGCGAGCAGCAGGCAGAGGGGCAGGAGATGGGGCGGGCTGCAGCAGCGCAGCGCATAGCGTGCAGCCCTGCCCCACCCCGGCGGCTCCACTGCAGGCATTCAAAGAAGCGCAAGCGGCAGACACGCCCTGCCAGCCAGCCAGCCGGCCGCCGCGCTCACTTGACGTTGCCGCAGCTGCCGCACTTCCAGTCTCCCGGCTTGGCCACCTGCCCGGGCTGCAGCCCCGGCTCGATAACCTCGCCACCCGGCCCCAGCGCCGCTGCGTGCTCGGGCTTGGGGTGCTTGCACTGGTTGCAGGCGTCGCGCCACTGGAAGTTGAGGTTGGAGCAGGAGGGGCACAGCCAGTCGCCTGCGGCAGGCAGAGGGGCGAGGGCTGCTTGAAGTGTAGGGGTGCAAGGCCTGGGGTCCAGAGAGCTCGCCAGAGAAGCAGGCGCAGGCAGGCATGGGCGGGGGCAGGGGCAGGAGCAGGCAGGCGACCGGCCATGGCCAGGAGCAGGCGGGGATGCCACATGAGGAAGGCGTGCATGGCAGCAGCGGGATGGATTCCCACCTGGCTTGGCCGGCACGTTTTGCATGCGGCCCATGGGTGGGCCGCCCATCGGCTGCATGCCCGGCCCCCGCGGCACGCGGCACTGGTTGCAGGCCTCGCGCCAGCCAAAGCTGCGGGCGGCGGCGGGAGGCGCGGCACGCAGCGGCACGCAGCGCGTCAGCACCAGAGCAGACAGGTTGGCACTGGCGTGGGGCGTGGCCCCGTCGAGGCAGCGCTGGTGCCGGAGCTGGGGCTCACACCACGGCAAGCACCAAGCAGCAGCAGGCAGCTGTCAGGTGGCAGGAGGCACGCCCCACGCAGCCACTCACTTGAGGTTGCCGCAGGCGTGGCAGTTCCAGTCGCCCGGCTTGGGCGCCACGTTGGGCTGGCGGTGCGGGAAGGGCCCTGGGCCCATCATGCCAGGCGGTGGCCCCATGCCGGGGCCCCCCATCATGTGATGGTGGTGGTACCCTGGCTCGTAGTAGGGCTGGTGGTAGGGGCCAGGTGGGCCGCCCATGGGGCCGCCCATCATGCCCGGAGGCTGCCCGCCCATGTAGCCGCCGGGGTGGTGCGGAGGCGGCGGGCCTCCCATCATGCCTGGCCCCATGCCGCGGGGAGGGCCTGGGCCCATACCGTAGCCGGGGCCCGGACCCATCATGCCGGGCTGGTGCTGCATGTGGTGCGGGTGTGGGCCGCCCATGGTAGGAGGGCCGCCGCCGTAGGGCGCCTGAGGCTGCCCCGGCGGCGGCGCGACATAGCCGTACGCCTGCTGCTGGGCTGCGGCGGCGCCATAGTCGTAACCGTAAGCAGCCGCCTGCTGCTGCTGCTGCTGTGGAGGCATGGCGTAGGCGGGGGCGACGGCGGCTGCGGGCGTCATCTGCGCCGCCGCCGCCGCCTGCGTCGCCTGCTGCGGCGCGGCGGCGTAGTGCGTGGGCAGCGCCTGCTGCGTCGCCTGCTGCGGCGCGGACGCGTAGTGCGCGGTGGGCGCCACTTGGTAGGCCTGCTGCTGCTGGGGGGCAGCCCCCGGGTAGCTGGAGTACCCACCGACACCCATCCCAGGCTGAGGCGCGGCCACGTAGCCACCCTGCTGACCGCCCATCTGGTAGGCTGCGGCCGCGACGCCACCCGCTCCCACGCCCACGCCACCGCCCCTGGGCACCGGCGGCCCCAACGCCTGGTCCGCGTGCGCCCTGGGCGCCCCACACTGGACGCACTCCCGCTGGTCGCCGTTGTTCCCACCGCACGCCGCACACAACCACGGCCCTGCACCGCCCGAAGGACGGGGCCACACACACAGCCACCGACACGACTCACACACACGCTCACTCGTGCACACACTCTCTACGCGGACACGCACCCACGCCCAACGACGCGCCCGGGCCCAACACACGCTCAGGACACGCTCGGCCCGACCCTTCGGGGGGCCCTCCCACACCGCAAAGGTGCAACCCACCTGGCTTGCCTCCGCCACGCCCGCCGCCGCCGCCGCCGCCTGCACCACACCACGGCACAGCAGGCGCAGCCATCAGCGGGTGAGTATGGGGCCCAGGCAAGGCAGGCAGGCCGGGCTGGCAGGACAGCAGCCCGCTTCGCAGCACGGAAGCAGCAGCAGCAGGAGTGGGCAACGGCAAGCCACGGCGGTGCCTCACAGCCCCAGCAGACCCCACAGCAAGGGGTAGCAGGAGAGGCTGGCTCGCCAGGCTGTCAGGAGAAGCCAGCAGGCGCAGCGCGCACGCACCGTAGCCGCCTCCGCCGCCGCCGTAGCCGCCTCCACCTCCGCCGTAGCCGCCGCCGCCGCCACCGTAGCCACCGCCGCCGCCACCGTAGCCGCCGCCGCCGTAGCCCGCGTCCTGCTTGGCCTCTGCCAGGCTGACGTGCAGCACGCTCACGCCGTCGCTCCAGGTCTTGCCGTTGAACCAGCTGGGGGCTGAGGCGGCGGCAAAGGGGTCCTCAAACGTCACAGTGGCATCACCCTTTAGCATGCCCGTGGCCTTGTCACGGTACAGCCAGATCTGCAGGAGGTGCGTGTGTGAGGTGGTGAGTTGTTAGGCAGGAGAGCAGCCAAGCAGAGGCGAGGCCGCGGGAGCGGGCGGCGCCGCACTTTGGGCGCCTTCTTCTTCTTGTCGATTTTGATCATCCCGATGGTGCCAAAGAACTGGGCCACCTCCGACTCCGTCACATTGCTAGGCAGGCCGCTGCGGGTGGGAGGGCAGGGGCGCGGTGAGAGTCCCGCTGATGGGCGGCATGCAGGGCCCCGGCGACGCTGCCTGCAACGTGCCTGACATAGATCTGGTCCACATCGCCTTGGAACGAGTTCACGTCCATCTTGGAGGCCTGCTTCCTCGCCTCTCAGGATGATGGGCCGAACAGAAGCCCTTTCTAGTGCTGCTGGTGCACAGCCCTGCCCGTAGCAAGGCACAAAGAGGAGTCAGGGGGCTGCGGAGGCCCAACACAGCCTGCACACCAAGTTTCCGCACGTTTTCTTTTGCCGCATTTCTCGGCCCACGGCCGCTTCCAGAGGCACCCTGGCCATTCATCGTTGCACCAAAACCACACTTGGATCTGGCTGCCCCTGCCGAAGGCCCTCAGGGCACCCGCCCTGATCAGCGGCGGGGGCTCAGGGCGAGCACTTTCAGGGCCTTCTTCCAGCGCCTCGTCTGTCTCAGGCCATCGGAGCATCGGGATGGTACCCCGTAGCAGCGCGGCGCAGGGGCGGCTCCCCAGGCGGCGGTCGACGGGGCGGGGCGTGAGCGCTGCCCCCTGTTCACTGTGCTTGTTGAGGCTGAGACCCCCCCCCCCCCCCGCTGGCCTCTTGCTTGTCAAATACTGCGCATCACAGCACACACGGCCTTTTCCTGAGTCGTGGCAGCAGCTCGTGGGGAAACACACCTAGGGGCTTGAGCTGGGACTGTCGACGCTCGCATCCGAACCCGCAGCAGCTCCCGCTCGCGGCGCCACTTGGACACAGAAGGAGAGAGGCACAGCTGGATCCTGCGCGCACAGCTGTGATGCTGGGGAAGGGCGCTGCGGTGCATCAGCGCAGCAGCAGGCAGCAGACCTATCGAGGTGGTCTGCCTATGGGTGGAGGACGCTCACCTTCACGGCCGGGTGGAGCTGGGCTGCGACACTTTTCTTCCCCCTCTGTGTTGTTGGTGATTTTCATCGCCTGAAACCCGTGTCTACACAACGACCTGCAGACCACTGAGTTGCTCGTGTCTCGGGGCGACATGTGTGGGCATGTGCCGCGCGGCCTGCTGTTCTTGGCCTTATACACCAGCCTGGCCATTGCAGCCGAACCTCCGAGTCAACCGAGCGCCCCCAACTTCATACTGTGAGACACACGAATGTTGCCCGCAAAACATGTTGCCCAGCAAGTTCAGCCTGTTCCAGCGTCTCGCACACGCTCTGCAAGCAATCCTGCTCGGATGCCATGCGCCGCCGCTACGGCCGCCGACGAGTGCCGCCTGCCGCCACCCTCGCCGCCGCCACTGCCCTATCGCTCGCAGCCTTTCGCTCGATGGCGGGATCCTCCCCAGCACCTGGGAGGTGGCCTATGACCAGACCATCATCGAGTCAGGGGTGCGCAACCCAAACGGCTGTAGAATTCCAATGACGTGGTGAGGAGGCGGGGCGCGAGCTGGCTACCCACCGCACAGCAAGCGCTACCCCCCCCGCTCTACCCGCCCTTGCACTTCCCTCACAGCCACTGCCGCTTGCCGCCATCTCCCCCAGGTTCACCTGCTGCTGCCTGCACGGCGACGACACCGGGGACTGCGGCGTGGTGGCGCAGGCGTATGGGCTGGGTCATGAGATGGCCACACACACCATGACGCACAGCGAGGAGTGAGCAGCGCCTGTCGCGGTGCCGCCTGCCCCAGCTGCGCTGTACCCCCCTGCGCCAGCATCGGCCCGCCGATCACGCTTGAAGCCCTTGGGCCCTTGGCAGCTGTGGTTTTGTGTGCCCACCTGCCTGTGCCGCCCGCTCGCCTGCGGCCTGCCTGCAGGACCCTAGAGTACAGCTATGAGCAGTGGGCGGAGGAGATTGGGGGGCAGCGCGACTGGCTGGCCGGCACCTGCAGCATACCGGAGGAGGAGGTGGTTGGGTTCAGGGCTCCCAACTTCCAAATCAACAACCTGATGGGCCGCGTGCTGGCAGACCTGGGCTTTGGGTGCGGCGTGTGCGTGCCTTGCGCGACATGCCTGCGCTGCGCCTGCCCGCCCACCATCTTCCACCTGGCCAGCAGCCCACGCTGCAGCTGTGCGCTGCTCACTGGCCCAGACCCTGCTTTCGGCTGCACCATGCGCCCCACATTTCCACCCACCAACCCCACCACCACCACACACACACACACACCACCTGCGCAGGTACGACTCGAGCCTGACCGGCTTCGAGGACAGCCAGTCGGGCTGGCTCAATGGCACCTATGACCTCGACTTCTGCCAGGACAATGCCGAGGAGAGGGCCAAGTGCAGCGAGTGGGAGGAGCTGCCGCTGTGGTGAGCGCAGCACGCAGCCCGGGCGCACAAGCATAGCGGAGCTCAGGCTGCCGACGAGAGCACCCCAGCTGGTGGTTTTGAGGTGCACAATGTTGCTGTCAGCAGGGCCTCCCCAGCTCTTGCAGACGGGCGCCTGCACAACCAACGCTGCCTGCGCCGCTCGCCCCTGGCGCAGGGAGGTGCCCGCCTATCTCGCGCCCGGCAGCTTCCGCAGGACGGACCCTGCCCCCGTGGACGGCATGTCGATCGTCGAGGTGCGCGGTACCCCTCCTGCGCGGCTTCTGGCAGTGGCCCCGCACCTCCCATGCGCGCTGGTCTGCTGTGCACGTGGCAGGCCTGCTTGTGGGTCCGCAGCCCACCCACCTGCTGCCCGCCTGCTCCCCTGCCTGCCCCTGGAGCCCTGCAGAGGCTGCAGGCTGACTTCGAGCGCAAGCGCGGCACCGGCATCCCGGTGTCCATAAACGTGCATGAGCCGTACCTGGCAGACAGGTGGGCACCATCGCCTGCGCCCCGCTGCTGCAGCTGCTGCCGGGCCGCTCGTGCCTTGCTCCAGCCACGCCTGCACCTCTGTTCGGCACCTGCGCATCTGCTCCCATCGCCGGCCTCTGCGCAGCATCAGCCCCGCCCGCCCACCTATCCCCTTCCACACTCTGCTCCCCAGCCCCTCCCCTCCCCTCTGTGCAGCGCCAGCCGCGAGGCGGTGATTGAGTTCCTGGGCTGGGCTTTTGAGCAGCCAGGGGAGACGTGGGCACTGACACACCAGCAGTACATGGAGTGGAAGCAGGCGCCCGCTGGCACCCCGGTAAGCCTGAGCGGCGTGCGCTGGCACCGTGCCCGCCCCGCACATGGCTGGCTCCTAGGGCCCTGTGCCAGGTGTGCTGTGCTGGCTCGCCGAGTAAAATGCTGTGCATGCTGCTGCAGGTGGAGGCGGTCGTGGGCAAGTACCCTTGCGACTCGAGCTGATGCCGCTGCATTCTCATTGGAAGTCAAACAAATAAAATATACATCTCCTACCAGCGCATTGCTGTGCCACAGGAACCCCATCTGTCCCGATCTGTCCCACGTTCTGCCGACTCATGGACTATTGTTCTGCTTATCGTTGTGCTATGAGATGCTTTGGGCAGGATACTCTGCTCCCGCTGTTGCAAGCTCCCTGTACTAGACGCTCGGACGAATGTGGTTGAAATCTCCCGTGAGCGGCGTGCATCGGCCTCATGGGCCCATCAAATGACAAGTGCAGTTTCGGCGGCGCCAGGAGGTGCCAAAAATAGGTGTGAGCGGGTGTCACGGGAGGGCAAGCGATCAAGGGAATGACAAGAAAGGCTGTGTGGGCTGCTGTTGCCACTGACCACCTGCCCAGCCTCAGCCTCGCTGCGGCTTGGCCATGACCACACGCACCGCACGCTCCAGACCCGCTGCCAGCTGCTGCTGGCCCTGGCCGCTGCTGGCCGCCCGCCAGGCGATATGCCCGTCAGGGCGCACCAGCAGGGCGCCATCTGGCGCGACGCCACGCAGGCACAGCCAGGCGCCGTCGCCGCCGTCCAGCACCACGGTGGTGCCTTGGGAGCTCCCGGTTGCGGCGCGGTTGCTGCTTGTGCCGGCCCTGGTTTGGGCAACCACTACAGGCAGCACTGGCACGCCTGTGGCGCGCTCGGCCGCCGCGGCCGCCGCCTCCCAAGCCGCCTGCTGCTGGCTCTCGGACAGCAGCAGCAGCAGGGCGGTGCCCGCCGCCGCCGGCAGGTCTATCGTCGACGAGACGTGTTGGCTGCTGCCGCCGCCTGACAGCAGCCGGCCCGGCTGCTGCACCGTGATGGGCACGTGCGGCAGGCGGGCTCCCACGAGGGTGGTGGGCGTGTAGGGCGCATCTCGCGGCTTAGGGCGCTGATAGTCGGCCAGGGCGGCGGCGTCCCCGGGGCTGTGGCACACTGCGCGGCAGCAGGCAGGGGGGGGCGGCAGGAGGGCCACGGCAGCAGGGGTCAGCCCAGCAGGTGAGGTGCTCAGCCAGCGGAGGCCGCCAGCCCAGCGGGGAGCAAGAACAGGGTGGCACGCTCCCATTCGGCTGCCTGGCTGCCAGCCTGCCCTGCCAGCATCCGCCCCACCTCACTGTACGGCCACCTCGTCCCACCAACCCCACCCGTACTCTCTAAAACACACACACGCACACACACACAGCACCACCCACCCGCGCCAGCGGCATACACATAGCCCAGGTCCTCTTTGGGGAACTGCAGGCGTAGCGTCTCGCCGTGGTCAAACACAGCCGCCAGCTCGGAGCGGCGCAGCCGCCTGCGGGGTCGCGAGCGGCGGCGGCAGCAGCACGGCACGCACGCGAGGGACGTCAGCAAGCAGCGCGGGCGGGCGCTGCCAGCCAGATAAAGCCTCCACTCGACGTGCACGCACAGACACAGACCCACACGGGGACACACACACACACACACACACACAGCCTGCCGCCCACTCCCCACACACATAACAGACAGACACACACACACAAGACACACATAAACAAACACATACACACGCACACACAAACACACACACTCTCCCACCTGATGGGGCTGGCCGCCGCCTTCCCCACCGACATGGTCGCCTCCAGCACCGTGCGGCGCACGTCGGGCGGCAGCCAGGCCAGCACGGGCGCCGCCAGCACGTCGCTCAGCAGGTTGGCGGCCTTGTAGTCCAGACCCAGGATCTGAGGCGCAGGCGGCCGCGGGGAGGCGGCGGCGTCGTGGGTGGGGAGGCGGCGGCGGTGGGGTTTGGTGCGTGTGTGTGTGTGTGCGTATCGGTGCGCGTGGGGAGCTTGCAGTGCAGGGGGAGGCTGTGAGGGAGCCGAGGGGGTGGGAGGCGGCCTACTGGGCGGCATGCGGTGCGCCCCTGCCTCCCCGCCCTGCATGCGCTCCAGCTGCTTTCTTCCCGCCGTGCTCCACCCACACACCCCAGCCGCAGCCCAGCCGCAGCCCGCATGGCGCACCCCAGCCCTGCGCACCTGCAGCCCATGCAGCGCACCCCTGCCCTGCCCACCTGCGGCACCCTGAGAGCCTCGTTGAAGTTCGCCACGCTGAGCAGCATGTTGGCGGTGCCCACGGCCTTGCGCTCCACTGCAGTCGGGCAACGGGGAGGTGAGGAGTCGGGAAGGCACCGGTCGCGATGTGGCGCAGAGGCAGTGGTGACGGCCGGGCGGCGATGGCAAGCAATTGGCCGCGCGGCCACACGCCAGGCAAGGACGGCACGCAGTAGCAGGGCAGGGCAGGGCAGAGCAGGGCAGGGCAGGCAGGGCACAGCAGCGCCGGCCCGAGCAGGGCCGCGCGGCGCCCTTCACCTGTGTAGGAGTCCAGCAGCGCCGCCCCCGCCCGCCCCTCCAGCACCGCCGCCAGCTTCCAGGCCAGGTTGTGCGCGTCGCAGACGCCGGTGTTCATGCCAAAGGCGCCCGAGGGCGGGAAGGCGTGCGCGGCGTCGCCCACCAGGAAGGCGCGCCCGGAGGAGTATGCGTGCGCCACACGCCCCGCCATCGTCCACGCGCGGATGGTGCGCACCTGCAGCGCCAGGTCGGCCTGGCGCGCCACCTGGCGAACGATCTCGGCGCACCGCGCGGGGGTGAAGTCGGCGCCCGACTGGAGTGGCGGGAAGTAGGGCACCTGCTGGGGGGCAGGGTGCATCGGGGCGTAGGTGAGTCGTATATGGTGCACGCAACAGAGACGGGGCAGCGGCAGCGGTGATGCCGACGACAACCAGGGGCATGGGGCATGCCACGCTTGGAGAGCAGCTCAGCACATCAACACCGGCGCGGCACAGCACAGCACAGCATAGCGCAGCGCAGCACAGCACGACACGGCACAGCACAGCGCAGCACAGCACGGCAAAGCGCAGAGCAGCTCCCCTCGCCTGCGCCACAAACTCCCCCTCCTCCAGGTTGTGCGCCACCACCACCGCAATCACGTCCCGGTTGAACACAAAGTACAGCATGCCCTCCCGCCCCCGCCCCCGCAGCATCGCGCCCAGCTGCAGGCCGGGGAGGCGCGGGACGCGGCGGCCCGCAGCGGGGGGGGTCGGGCCAGGGAGGGAGGGAGGGAGCCGATAGGGCGCATCCCCATCCATCCATTCGCCGGCAGGCATTCTCTCTTAGACACGCAAAGTGCGCCCACACACCCACGCACCTGGGGCGAGAGGAAGTGGATGTTGATGAGGTGCTGGATGGCACCGGGGCCCCCCATGCCGATGCCCAGCTGCTGGCGCAGGCCGCCACGCGCGCCGTCGCAGGCCGCCAAGTACTGGCCTGCGGTTCAAGGGAGGCGAGGCAAGGCGGGCAGTGGGATGGGAAGGTGACTGGCTGCCCAAGAACTGGCCATGAACGTGGATCCCAGACGTTGCCAGCTTCAAGCGCTGCGTGTGCTTCCCCTAAGCCCAGCCCCTGAGCCGCGCCCCCACCTGCTAATCTATAGATGTTGCCGCCGCCGCCATTGCCATCCGGCGCCGCGTCTACCACCACCGACACGCCCTCCGCCGACTGCGTGAAGCTCCGCACGCTGCAGGGCACCGTGCGTCAGGCATGAGCAGCCACCACGGCCGCCAGGGCCATCCCAGCCAGCCCCACGCTGGTGCCAGCACAATCAGCCCAGGCTGCGGCCCCACCTGTGGCCCATGCGCAGGTCGATGGCAGGCTGCTGCCGCACCGCCTCCACCAGCAGCGGCAGCAGCCGGTGCTGCGCCAGGTGGCCCACCGGCTCGGGGCTGATGGCGGGCTGGTAGGGGCTGGTCTGGCCCCTGCGGCAAAGGCAGGGCAGCCGGTGGGGTGGATGGCAGGCGCAACAGAGGGGCGGGGAGGCAGCTTGCTGCGAAAACAAGGCTGTAAACGTGTGGTGCGTGCTGCCAGCCTGGGCGTGCCGCCACCTCAGCATGCTGCCAGCTCAGCAGGTGCGCAGCTCACTTGAAGTGGTCAACCATGCCCAGCACCTCGCCCCCCAGCCCTGTGCAGTACACAAAGCGCCGCCACTGCTGCAGCGGCGGCATGCGCGCCACCACCTGGCTGGCCAGGTTGGGATCTGCAGGGAGGCAGGCAGCGACAAGCACCCCACTACTCACCGCACGGCAGAGGGAGGATAAGGCGGCGAGTACGCCTGCTCAGCAGGCAGGGCCACGCAGCAACCAGCAGCGCGGCACCAACGCCGCCATCCGCTGCCGAGCCCGCCCCAAATCCAGCCCTGCCGTGCAGGCCAGCCCCGCAGCCTGCCCACCTCCCAGGCCACGCAGCACCTCCATGCACCGCATGTTGATGAAGTGCGCCTGCGGGTGGTCGGTCAGCGCCCTGCTGCGCTCAAGCACCACGCTGGGCACGCCCAGCTTGGCCAGCAGCAGGGCGGTGGTGAGGCCTGTGGGGCCACCGCCCGCTATCACCACAGGAGCGCTGTCGCCTCCACCCTCCTGCGCAGCGGGGCCGCCGGGTGGCGCAGGCTCCGTACCGCCCGCTGCGGCTGTGGACAGCAGGCGGGAGGCTGCCGCAGCGGCGCCGAAGAGCTCCAGCACCGACAGGTGGCTGCTGCACGCGGCGGCGGCGCCGCAGCCGAGCGCGCGCCAGACCGGTGCGGCGGCGCGGCGTGCTGCCATCGCTGGGCTGCCCGCCATGCTGTGTGCAAGATGCGGCCGAGCCACCGGTCCCGCGGTGGTCAGAGCTTCAGCTGGCTCAGCAGCTGCTGCAGCTCGTCTCGTTCCTCAGAGGACCGGTCGCTGCAGCCAGCGGCAGCCGATGCGCCGGGTGGTGTTGGCAGCAACCTTCAGTAGATGACACATTGCACAGCGCCAATGCACCCAATGCAGAGGATGCCCACTCGCAGCTGCTCCCTACCAGCCACAACCTCACCTGCCTCCCTTGTCCAGCAGCTGCAGCGCCTTCTCCAGCACCCGTATGCGGTGCTGGGCGTAGGAGCTGGAGGGCGGCAGCAGGCGGAACACCTCCAGCGCCTGCCGCACCGCCTTGCGCTGGTCGGCCTCGCTGAGCTCGCCTGCCGTCTGCCGCCACGCGTGCCGAAAGGTGCGCCCGCCAGACGGCCCACTGGGCTCCTCCCGGGCCACCTTCAGCGGCTGCGCCTTGGTGATTGACGCCTTAGAGCTGGACCTCCTCCGCGACTTGAGCTCCCTGCTCACCTGCAGCGCCACAGCCAACTCCACCTCTGCTGGCTGGGCTGCGGCTCTGTCCTCAGGGCAGCCTTGGGACATCGCCCTGGGGGTGGGCGGCAATGGGGTTTAGCCAGCAGGGTCCTCAGGCTGTTCTGTGGCCCCACTGCCAGCGGGGCGCCGTCGCCGCGCACCGCATGAGGCCAGCCTGCGCCTGGGAGACTCAGTTCAATTTCCGGGGCCCGCCACGCCGCTCACACCTCCACTCCCGCATCCCTTAATCACTCAGCTGGCGTTGGGAGCCCCCACAGCACCTCAGTTCGAGTTTGAGTGTGGAAGAGTGATCGCATCTGCACAAGCTATCCGCGCCATCGCCGCTCTGGCCAGGGACACCCAGCAACGGCCACCATGCTGTCGCAACATGAGCTGCTGAAGCGCATCATGGAAATCAACAAGGACCCCAGCCTGTCGGATGCCGAGAAGGCGTCCGCCCGGCAGGACCTGATGAGCGGCAAGTGGAAGGCCAGCGAGGAGGACAAGGAGACGGCCAAGGGTGAGGCCGCGGCGCCGACGCCGCCTTCCCGCCGCTTTGCCGGCGCCGGCCAACGGCTCTCCCCAGCTTGGCGCGCTGCAACCCGCCCTGCTGTGCGCAAATCCTCCCTGCAGCCGATGACAAGGCCAAGGCGGCGGCCGGAGAGGAGAAGGACAGCAGCCTGCTGGACGACGACACACTCAAGTGTGCCATCTGCTTCGACCTTTGCGTGCGCCCCGTCACGGTGCGCTCGCTGCCTGCCTCGAGGCCCTGCTGCCGGCCTGGCCCGTTTGGCCAGTGTAGCAAGGGGGGCATGCCTGAGGCTGGCCATGCCTGCAGGGCAGCGCTGGGGGCAGTAGGCACGCTCGGCAAGCGGCAGGCAGGGACAGGCGGCCGGGGCCTGCCGCCAGCTGTCGCAGACAGCGACATGTGCCCCCTCGCACCACTGCAGGCCCCCTGCCAGCACAACTTCTGCCTCAAGTGCTTCCAGGTGCGGCCAGCGCGACGCTCTGTGACAAGGGATGGGGGCAAGGGGGCTGTGCTGCAGGCTGCAGGCTGCAGCCTTTTGACAGTCTGGCTGGCAGCCCCGCCAGCGGGCGCCCATCTGCGGTGGCGGCTGAGCCCCCACCCGTGGCCTGCCTGCCTGCCCGCCCGCCCGTGCAGGATCTGGTGAACAAGGCGAAGAAGAAGGCGTGCCCCTCGTGCCGCCACGAGTTTGGCGCCAAATTTGCGGCCAACCCGCGCATCAACACCGCGCTCACGGTCGCCATCCGCGCCTTCAAGGCCGGAGACGCCCGCGCCGCCAGCAAGCCGTTTGTGCGGTGAGCTGACCGGCCGGCGTGTTGGCGCGGTCTGGCGTGGTGGGCTGCTGGAGCGGCGCACGTGGCTGGTCGGCGGGCCTCCAGCTTGCAGCACACGGCCCCAGACCTCGCCCTTGTCCCTGCTGCCCCAGACCTCTGCCTCGCCGCCCGTCTCACCTGTGCTCACCTGCGCTCCCCTGTTGCTGCAGCATCAACAATGATGACCGGCCGGACGAGGCTTTCACCACAGAGCGGGCGCAGCGTGCGGGCCGCGCCAACGCCGCCTCGGGTGCGCCACCCCGTCGCCAGGCTGCAGCTGGCGTGGATGGCGGGGTGGCTCCTGTTCGCTGCGCCTGCATGCCATGCTGCGCAGTGCTGTGCCCAAGCCCGACCATGGAACCCGGCCATCTGGGCGCTGGGCCCAGCTCCATCCCTTGCATCGTGAGCTGTGGCACGCGGCGTCCTGCTGCACCTGCTGTGACACCCGGCATCCTGCTGTGCCTGCTGTGCAGGGCGCATCATGGTCAACATCCCCAACGACCACTTTGGCCCCATCCCCCCCGAGGCAGACCCCCGCGGCACTGTGAGCCCCGCGCCCTTCCCCTCGCCTGCTGCCTGCCATGCCGTGCGCTACACTTGGCACTGCTGGCCTGCAGCGCTCGGGGCACAGCCGGACACAGCAGCGGGGCTTCTGGCGCAAGCTTCAGGCGTGAAACACACTCCCGACAGCAGGACGCGCAGCAGCAGCAGCTCCTTGTCTGCGGCGCCACAGCAACCCTGCGCCGCGTGCTCCCGCGCCTGCCGCTGTGCGCGTGCAGGGCATCAAGGTGGGAGAGTACTGGAAGGATCGGCTGGACTGCCGCCAGTGGGGCGCACACTTCCCGCACGTGGCGGGTATCGCGGGCCAGTCCAACGTCGGCGCACAGTCCGTGGTGCTGTCTGGAGGGTGAGTGAGGGCCCCTGGCCCCCCCAACCCACCCTACTGAGCTGCCGGTGTTTTTGCGGTGGTGTGTTGGGAAGCTTGTGTTGTGGGGGGGACCAGGGGGAGAGGGACAGGGAGG